CCTGCAGAGCGCCCTCGGCAGGCCGCCCCGGCCATCACCGGCGCCTGCTGGGGGAATTGCTGGGCTGGCGCCGTGGGGTCAGCCCCCCAAGTGGTGTTTTTCAAATGAAGCACGTACCTGGCCTCTTTTGTTAGGCAGCAGTTGACATTAAATTAAAATGAAAGCCCGCGGAGGCTGCGAGTTCAATATCCCTCCCTAGCCTAGCAGTTAAGGGTACACCGGGCTGCAAATGAATCCGCAGTTTTAATGTGAAAAAAATGAAACTGTGAAGGTATTAGAGTAAAACCTGGGCAAATCCATTTATAATCTTCGAGTGGGGGGGATCTTTCTAATTATGACTCAAAATTCATTGCTCATAAGAGAAGAGACTGATAAAATCGACTACATAAAATCCTTAATTTATGCGGGGCAAAAGTGCAATAAGCAAAGTAAAAGACAAACGGCACAATAGGAGGAGTATTTCATATTCCTCTCATATCAAAAGAATAATCCCCCCAACGTATAAATGGCAGCTCCATTTCTAACTGATGAGGAACCTCCACACTGTTTCCACAGTGGCTGCACCATCCTGCATTCCCACCAGCAGGGCACGAGGGTGCCCTTTTCCCCACGTCCTTGTCAACACTTGTTGTTTGCTGGTTTACTAATTTTAGCCACTCTGACAGGTGTGAGGTGATTCCTCACTGCGGTTTTATTTTCATCTCTCTGATGATTAGTGGCGTTGAGGATCTTTTCATACGTCTCTTGGCATCTGTGTGTCCTCTTTGGAGAAGTGTCTATTCAGGTCCTTTGCCCATATTTTAATCGGATTGTTTGTTGTTTTGGTGGTGATTTTTATAAGTTTTTATAAGTATTTAGCCCTTATCAGATGTATTGGCAAATGTACTCTCCTGTTCAGTGGGCTGAGTTTTCATTTTGTTCGTTTGTTTCCTTTCCTGTGCAAAAACTGTTTAATTTGATGTAGTCCCACTTACTTATTTTTTCTTTTGTTTCCCATGCCCGAGGAGAGAAATCAGAAAACACATTGCTACAAGAAATGTCTGTGATTTTACTGCCTACGTTTTCTGCTAGGATTTGTATGGGTTTTTTTGGTTTTTTTTTTAGTCCAACATTTAAGTCTTTAAAACATTTTGAGTTTATTCTTGTGTGTAATGTAATAGGTGGTTTAGTTTCATTTTTTGTATACATATCTGTCCAATTTCCCCAACACGATTTATTGAATACACTATCTTTACCCCATTGTATGTTTTTGCCTTTCTTGTCAAATATTGACTCTAAAGGCATTGGTTTATTTCTGGGCTCTCTATTCTGTTCTATATGCCTGTTTTTATGCCAGTGTCATACTGTTTTGATTACTATGGCCTTGTAATATTAAGTTTCTTTTTTTTATTTTGCTGCTCTGAGCAGGCGATTCCCACTATTCTGTCTTCTAGAGTGCTGATCCATTCCTCCTAATGTATTTTTCATCTGTTATTGTTTTCTTCCACTCGGATTGTTTACTGTTATCTTTTCTAACTCTGTTGAAGTTCTGAGTCTGTCTATTCCACTCTTTATTGAGAGTCCTTTTGACTATTTCTTTTCATTCTTTCTCAGGAAATTATATTTGTTTCATTGGAGCTTTTCTTGGGGATTTTTACGTGTTCCTTCATTGGAGGCCTATTCAATGTCTCCCCACTCCGTTTGACTTTCTGTGTTCCTGTGAGTTGGAGGAGGTAGCTGTGTCTCCCATTCTTGACGAAGTGGTCTTGTGCAGGTGTGGCCTCTGCATCGACTATGTGCCAGCTGGTTGTGCCAGAGCAGGTGCATGTGGCGCCTGGGGTGCCACCTGGCCAGAATGACACGGGGGCAGGGCAGCCTGATATGTGTGGCTTCCTTGACTCCCTGAACTAGGCCTGCGGCCTGGTGTATGCCCCAGGTTGTATTGGGGAAACAGCACACCTGTGGCTGAGGACGCTGGATGGGCAGCCCCTTGCCGCTGGGGGGTGCATGCCATGGAAACCATGGGCATCTCAGTGAGAGGCTGTGGGGAGAAAGACGATAGGATCGGGGCTTGTGTTATAGGATTTTGGAGGCGGGTTCAAACAAGTGGGGCTTCGCTGGGGACGGATGCGGTCAGGAAGCAGGGGCAGTGCCCTGACTCTCTCCATAAATCTTGTCTTACAGGATCAGGAGCAAAAACGCTGCAGTTCCTTGTCCTCGCCATGAGAGGGTGGTGTTTGGTCACTTTGTGGTTTGACAGGTTGATGGGAACGTGCTGGTGACCGCTGGTGAAGGGTCTTGTTCTTGTCTTGATGGACCACGGCCTGGGAATAGCCTTGTCGGATGTCAGTGTTCTATGACATTATTTGTATTAACAAGAGGACACCTGGGCTCCTCTGTGAGGACCAGTCACCAGGGCTGTGTTTTTAGGAACTTTGGCAGTTATTCCGAGGAGCTGGGAAGCCGTTCCAGGGCATGGACAGAGGAATGCCGTCATTTGTGGGGGGTTTTTTGTTTGTTTGTTTTAAAAAGACCACCTGGGATGGTAGATGGATAATTTATTTTACAATAGAGTACTTTTATATATGTAAGGGAGACATAAAGCTATGCATTAATCTCTTATGAAAATGGCCTCAAATGCTCCTTTCTGCGGATCAGGTTTGTCAAGGTGTCTGCATTATATCTGAATATGACAGAATAATACAGTGTGAAACTTGGCAACCCTCTGATTTGTATTTGACTTATTTAATGTTTCTTTCTATTAAAAATCAACCAAAGTTTTGAAACTAAAACATATCCTCTTTGAATAATTTCACTTGGGTCTCTCTGACACCTTCAATGCACTTAATTATTACAGCTGAAGCAAAATCAAAAGAGGGAACTGGCCCAACAAGGTTCTTAATTTTAAACTGCAGAAGTAAAGTGGGAATTTGTATTAGGCCTAATGATCACCTATTTTAGTAAAAATTTACTAGGATCCTTTTCCCAGCTAACCCCCAGGTCCCTCTCACTGCCACCGCCCCGAAGAGGAGGCCTGTTTAGCCCGTTTCAACGTTCCTCCTGCCTTTTCGCTGCTTTTTAACCCAATTAAAAAACTAAAGCTTGAGCCCACTCGCCTCATGCCCTCACCCGTAAGCAGTTTTTTTTATCTTGTTTCCCAAACTGCTTTTCCAGATGGCTGATCCATAAATAATACTTGATAAGATTCCTGTCACTTTCCTTCTGTTTCATCTCCGAGCTGCGCTAACAGCACAATCTCATTATTTCCCATCCGTACGGTCCGTCGTCTGCCCCTCAGGAAGATGCATAAACACCTCTCGCCGGTTTCCAGCTTGTACGGGGAACGGGAGTTCATGCCTCACTGGTGGAGCGAGTTGCCGTTTACAGGCTCGCGGGACTCGCCTTGGACATCGCCGTTCCTCACCGCTGTCGTCTTCACCAGTTGCTGTGGATCGTCTCCACTCATTGCCTTAAACCCGCCCTTCTTTCTATTCCCGGTGTTGCCGCCTAGTTCTGACCTCTCCCCTCCTGCGTGGCTCAACCCACCGCAGCCCCCAGTCTGGCTTCCACGCCTCCAGTTTCACCCCGTGCCAGTGTATTTGGGGCAATGTTGTTGGAATATATGAGTTTTCTAAATAAAACTCAGACCTGATCCATCATGTTATTCTTCTGCCCAAATTCTTCCGTGGTTCCCCACGACACAGGTTCCAAAGTCCTCTGCCTGACGCCTGAAACCCTTGGGGAACGAGTCTCAGTCCTCAGCACGCTCACGAGTCACGTTCCTCGCTGGAGCCGGGGGCTCCCGGGGCCCCTCTGCGGTGCCCTCCACTCACGCGGGCCTCCTGCTTGGAGATCCCGGCCCTGGCCCTGAGAGGTCTCCCACGACGCCCTCACCCTGTCCCTCCCGTGTACCTAATGTAATATTTTCCTCGATCACGCCCCGGAGTAGATTATTTTCTACTTGTCTGAATTTTCTGCTAGAGTTAGACACGAAGCCCCGTGGACACGGACCACCTCCCTCCACATCGTATCTGGTTTTGCATATTTAACGTAATACACCCTCAAAACTTCTAGCAGATTAACAATATATTTGTGAAAATCCGAGGTCAAAATATACTGCCCACCATTTGTTCAAGTTACGTAANAAATATTTTTGTTGAAAATCCGAGGTCAAAATATACTGCCCACCATTTGTTCAAGTTACGTAATTATCAACTGCTCTTTCAGTAATTGCCATTATTTACGTGTCACGTATTTCCAGAAAAAGTGATTTATCCAACAAGAAACCGACATCGTATCGTTACAGTGACGCATAAACGGTAGACGCTATATGGCGCAGGACGGGCTGACGGCTACACGGTGCCATCCTGATTCCAGCTCGAATGAAAACGCAAAGAAAAATAAAACCAGGAAAAACAGTACCTACCGCTGGGTGCTATAGCTTAGCTCCTTTTCAAAGGCCATTACTTGTGACTCTGTGTTTGGTCTCTGACTTTTCAAAACCTTTCAATATTAAAAACAGTTATTTTATAGCTGCTGTGTTTTCCCCACTGTGCATATTTTCCCTTCTCCATGCAAACGAGGATTGTGTGAAGATCTTGACCGGGACTGTCTTGGCCTTTGGATTGCATTAGGGTCATATTTGGAACTTGGCTGGAGCGAAACCCTGGCTCCGGCACACCCCTCCCTGCCCAGCACTGTGCTTGGCGGAGCCGGCCAGGTGCCTGATTGCACAGAGAAATGGGATGGGACCGCTCAGTGCGTGACAGTCAGGGGAGATTTCACAGATCACAAGTGTTTGGAGAGACAAATCAAAACCGAGCCATGCGGACGTGGCCTGCCATCTCCCCACTGAATGGGGGTGGCCTGCCAGGCAGGAGCCCAAGGTCACACGGTGACGCTGCTCGTTGGGACAAAAGCCCAAGAAAAAGAAATGCCTCAAGGCATACTACTTTTTGCATATAATTTTTTGAAAGAAAAAAAAAAAGGGAATTCCAAACTCTGTTTTTTACCTGGTCAGCCAGCAAGTACAGTACCTTGGAAATTGGGACTTAGCACGACCTGGTGGATATTAAGCCCTTAAGTAATGGCATTTCTACAGTTGGCCCTCGCAGGAGCCCAATGCCAACTTTGTTGTGAGGCAGATGGTGGGGGAAAGGTGGATGTGCATCTGATCACTTAGCAGGCAAATTAATTTATGTGACAATAACCGGCCTCCAAATTGGGTTTATCGACTCATTACATTTTCTCCCTATGAAATTTAGTAAAATGCCAAACTCTACATTTAAAGGAGCTGAAGGTTATTTTCTCCTTTTAAAAGGGGGCACATTCGGCCTTCGTTAGGAGATCTCTCGTAACAACATTCCCACCGCTTCAGGTTCGTTCCTGATTTTTCCTGTAGATTTTGGATAATATGTTTACAATAAAATTATGGTACCCAAGCAGTCCTCAACTAATCTTTAAAATAATCAGTTATTTAATTGCTAGATCACTCTTTTCAGGAGCCTAAGTAATTTTCAAAACAAAAACAAAATATACCAGTAAAACCTCAAATTATTTTGATAAGTGGGGGGCGGGGAGAGGAAGGAATGAAGGGAAAGGAGACTGAGGTTAAAATTTTGATGTCGTTCCAACTCCTCCTTGGTGGAAAAGTCTGCTTGCCGTTTGTCTTACTGACCTATTAAGGCCAAATGAATAGAAGGAAGGACGTGACTATAGGATGTAAGAAAGCGAAGCAGCCACAGACCTAGCGGATCAAACGGCACAGCAGCTGCGCCGAATTCTTACAAACCAGCCATTCTCAGCCTGTTCATCTCACGGCACATAAGCCAATGACTAAAATTCCTCAGGGCACCAAAAAATATATTTTTTTGCCGATCCAACGGGGAAAAAAAAGGGAATCATTTCAATTCACTCACACTGGACGGCTGTTGTTGGGTCGGCTGTTGTCATTTTTTTATTGGACAATCTAAGGGAAAAGACGTCAGTGCCGCCGACTAAAGAATCAGGCATCACATGTTTTAAAAATTCTTGGGACACACGGGCTGAAAGTCGCTGTTACGAACCGTACCTGAGAATCGCTGGCTGCGCCCCGCTGGGCCCGCTGCCTCCTGGCCTGACGGCAGCTGGGAGCTGTTCGGGGGACGCCGTGTGCTCCCCACGCCAGGGCCCAGCCAGCCTGGGCTCCTGCGGCTGCGGGTCTCCCCACTTCAAAAGGCACGTCAGAGGGAAGGGGCAAAGGGGGCCTTGATATACGGAGACAGGAGAAGATATGGCTTTGGGTGGAGGGCACGCAGAGCGATATACAGATCTTGTAACTCAGAAACGCACACCTGAAACCTCTAGGTTCCTATTAACCACTGTCGCCCCAATAAATTTAATGAAGTGTTTGAAAAAAATAAATAATAAATAAAAGGCACATCTTCTCAAAGTTATCTCGCTCTAACTTTATCTCCACAAGTCAAGAAAATCCGGTAGAGATTTACTTTTTGTGCGTAATACAAAAATAATTGGTATAGGAAGCATTGATTTTAACCAGAAAATTACAGAAATCCATTGTGTTGGCAAGACCTGAACAGTGCAGCCGACTGTGGGCGACAGGGCTGTGCCCGCTTCCCTCTAGGGAAGGTTCCCGGCAGCTGTTTGTGTCAGTGGGCACAGGGGTGTGCACAGGTCGGTCCCTGCCTTCCGCTCTCCACCGAGCAGCGGGTGTGTTCTTGGGACGACGCCACACCCCGGGCAGCCCCACCTCCGTGTTTCACGGCTGCACAGTCCTCCCAAGGGTGGACGTGCTCCACCCGGTGTATTCAGGTCTCTTTGCTACCTTCTCTGAGGCAGATAGAAGGGCTCACACCTTTTTTTAAATATGTTTTTACTGATTTCAGAGAGAGGAAGGGAGAGGGAGCGAGAGAGAAACATCAATGATGAGAGTCATGGATCGGCTGCCCCCTGCACGCCCCCTGCTGGGGATCGAGCCCACAACCCGGGCCTGTGCCCTGACCGGGAATCGAACCCTGACCTCCTGGTCGATGCCCAACCACTGAGCCACGCCGCTGGGGGGAGAAACGGGGGCTCTGATTGTTGGGGACAAACACGCTAACTCCACCATCTTCTAATGTCTTACCCAGAGGGAAACGGGGAAGGAGACTTGCAGAATAAGTGCAACAAAGCACAACAAGGATTACGAATCCTTAACCTATTTAGAAAGCAGTTTATCAAACAAGTAATTTCCATAAAATGCTCTCTCGGGCGGTCTACCCACGTGTCCCCTAAACACAACACTCCGTTGTCCGTCTTAGGTCTCCTCTTGGCCCAGGGTCTATCTAGCGGTCTCCATACCCCCCTGCTTTCCCGCCTCTGCTTGACCTTGAGCATGACCTCCACTCTTCCTGCAGTTTGGATCATGGCATCTCGTGCTCGCAGGTTATTAGTGGCTCTCTCAGCGGCCAGGCTTGGGCGAGCTCTGAGTCTCTGCACTGCCAGCCGTGGCTCGGTCTCAGCAGGAGCCGAGGGGGTGTTTGTGCTGGTCCATCTCACCCACCGACCAGCTGCGGATTCACTGATCACCGGCCCTCCCGCAGTCTCAGTTTCCTCACCTGTGGAAGGAGGGATGGCGACGGGATAACCGACGTGGCCGTTTCCATTGTAGGGCCCTTGGCCCGTTTAAGTACCGGTCGAAGGGCCGAGAAATCCTGCGTGCCCTGCCAGCGCTCGGATCAGCAGCCCCCTTCATCCTCACTGCAGCGCAATTGAAGGCCGTTTGAAGGAGTTTGCTTCCATTTTAAACACGCGCGTCCTGATGTTTACTGAACTCTGAAAGCTGGAAGGGGCCTGGCTCGTCTTTGCACCCTGGCAACACTTGCAGCTGGTGACAGGAGGGGTTTTGCCAGCGAGGTCTGCTTGAATCAAAAGCTTTCGCCTGAAATGCAGTTCCCAGCGTCCCAGTCGGTGGTCGGGAGTAATCCCGCAGGACGGCCGCGGCTGCGAGGCCCAGCTCCCTAAACCCTCAGCTGGAGGAAACTCCCCTCCCCGAACAAACTCGCCTCAAGTGCCCTTTGCCGGGCACTGTCTAGGGAC